CCTTCACCCCCCCCCACGTCATGCGGCGCCCTCCCGCACGGTACAGGATGCTGCCCAGCAGCAACAACACCACCACCGCCTATGCCACCAGCGACCGCGCCAACGCCTCCTGCGTCGCCGCCCCCGCCGTCATCCCGGCTGCCGGCATCGATCACGAGGTCGGCTCCCGGGTGGTCAACCTCGGCACCGGTAACGGTGACGACCCCGTTCCCCACCGGCCCCCCGCCCAGGCTCAACCAAGTACTTTCGTTGAGCCCGTCCCCGTTCGTCACCGCCTGTGCGGCCGGCAACAAGCCACCGCCGCCGCCACCGCCACCGCCGCCGCCGCCGCCAACCCCGTCCAAGCTGTTCCCGTCAAGCCCGATCAGGCCGCCGTCGTGGCCAATCTCTCCGATCATGTGTTCCGCGACGCCGCCTTCGCCGGTGTTTGCGTGCACGTGGACGCCGCCGCCGTCGCCGTTGGCATTGGCGGCGTTGCTCTTGCCGCGGTTCGACACTCCCCTCCCACGGTTGATGGCCGACCACTGGTTCTTGACGGAGTTGTAGCTCCTTCCCGGGATCAGCTTGGAGATCTGAGACCACTGCTTTCGCGAGCAATCGATGGAAGGAAGTAGGTAGCGGAGGAGAAGTCACAGACAGGAGCAAGATAAGGCAAGGCAGATCGTCCGAGCGGGAGATGAGTACGAAATCGATGCGGCCGCAGGGGAAAGCGAGGCAACGCTAGCCTGCGGGGGGTGGGGGGGGGCATGCTACGAGCCCTACCTTCCAAGTACTGTACCTTTTCAAAACATACAACAACATCAATAACGGGAACGGTGCGCATGAGAAAGGCAGCTGTATTATGTCGATGCACGGGCATGAGCAACCTCAAGCATGGTGTCGTTCTGTCTGTCCATCCGTCGAGCACTCGACGACGGCGACGGCGGCCACGCACCTTGGGGCCTATCTCGGCGTACCGCTCCAGCAACACGCGCTCCTCTTCCGCGGTCCACTCGCCCCGTTTCAAGCTATAATAGTGGGTCGTTACGCATTGGGGCGGGGAGGGGGGGG